ATTACTTGGAGAAGAAGAAGAGAACACAAGAGAGAACACATGAGAGGGGCGGTGGTTTTTTGTGTCTTACGCGTGTGTAATCTATCTTCTAATCCTAAGAGATGTGATGTATTTATAGGTTACAATAGGGACCCTAATGAGGTATTAAATTGGGTTTCTCGTATTTGGATTAGACTATAGGTCATGCCTACCAAACCCTAATAATACATACATTCCACTAAAGTAGTATTATTGAATAACCTACCAATTTAATTCCCGAATTATATTCGAGGCTCCAATAATAATTACTCGATTTATCTCTCTGTGTTTAAGATATAATATCCATCAATTAATTTAATCACTGACAATTAAATTAATCGACAACTATAACCGAGACTAGTACCACTCATACCATTATTATTATGCCGGAATAAATTCCACTTGCCATATTTAGCATAATAATCCTTCATGAGTTCTACTCGAGGACATCATCAAACTATCGCACACTATGACCGTAAAAATTCTAACAGCACAACGTACATACAATAATTTTACCCAAAACATTAAGTATATTGATCCAGTAAATTGAATCTCACCCAAGTGAATTAAAGTAATAAATATTGCATGCACATGCCTGTTTATATCTTACAGGTTAAGAGTACGCAGTTATTAACCGAGGCCTGGTTCTTTTACGATAATCAGTATAAAATGAACTTCTTCTCTCTAGGACCCATTCAATACGCAATGTGTACTAGTGTAACTAATTAGTCAAGACCAACTGTAAGGTTAACACTACAACCGTTCACGATGAGTTGTTCATTTCCATCTAAGTTGTGAACCATTAATTCTTGTTCGCAAGTAACTGATAGAATGATCTTCTGTTCGCCCGATGACGACCCATTCTATTTAAGTGCAAAACAACAAAACAAACTTGTTTAATTAAACATGATTCTCATACAAAATGGTTCAGTGTAAATTCACTTAAAGCCAAGCTTTCAGTATATACATCAACAGGTCTAGCGAGGAAAGGGAAATCAATTGGTTTTCTCAAAGACTTATTCTTTAATAAGCCATTTAAAATACGCCTTCCGATAATGTAGATAGTTGAGGAGTCGAGCCCTCAAGTTTTCTAGAGCCTTCATAGATCAAGTCAACTGCACTACGAGGTGGGGGAATTTTTATGTTATGTTTTACATTCTTTATATTCGCTTATATTATGGTCGCAATATGTTGCTTGTTTAATTTCTATGCTATGAAGTCTTTCGACTTGTGGGCAACCATTTGTTGGGAGCGCGAGGTTATCTATGAAGTCTTTTGACTTGTGGGCAACCATTTGTCAAGAGCTCGAGGCTATGAAAAACGAGGTTCTCTGACTTTTGTGAAACTAATGGTTGGGAAAACGAGGCAATACGAGGTTATAATTATTCATGTCGCATGTTAATATTATCTTATATGTTATTATACTGAACGTCTATGTAGAAAGTTTTTCTCACTGAGTAAGTGGAAATGCTCATCCCAATTTACTTTCCACACCCAAGTTGTTCGAGTTGGCAATGGAGCGATAGCGAGGGTGGTCAAAGTCAACCAAATTTCGCGTTTCATGTGAGTTATTTTTCAAAGTTCTAGACATTTAAAGAATTTTACATATTATGTTTGAGACTTATTATGAGTATGTTTATGAAAAAGTTATTATTTTGCAATGTTTGATGTTCTATTATGAAATGACGAGGATGATGAGAAGAGGTATAAGTTAAGCCAAGTTTTTCAAGCAAGGTTTCCAAATGGTTCAAGAAAGAAAAATCTTCTAATGAATTTCTAAGGTTTTTAACTGTAACTCCCCGCTTTTCGTACATTGAACTTCTAGAATAAATTTTTCTTTTTATAAAACTTTTGAAAACTTTATTGAACTCAGGGTGCTACTCACTTTGAAAAACATTGCATACGTGAACCTTTTCATGAACATAAACATTCCATACATGAACATAGAACATTTCATGGCGTTGCCTTGAGAACTTACACTTTAACTTGACGTGCATGAACCATGACTTATTTCATAAATAAACTTTGCATAGCGGAAGCTTTTAAACATAAGTATCATAAACATAAAAACATGTGACCACCTTCGCCATCGCTCATTTGCCAGCTCGCCAAAAACCTGGTGTGGAAAACAAATGAGGTGAGCATTTCCACTTACTCCGTGAGAGATCCCTCTACGTTATCATCCTAATAAACTATAAAGCATGAAATCATTTTTGTATACTCCACATAGTCATGTGCTCCCGACGAGTGGTGACCCACAAGTCGAAAGACTTTCTTGCTTCTACAACACTATTAGACAACTAAACACTAGAGTCTTTGCATGCAGGTGATTACATTCTTGTCACACTCCCACCACTCATCAAACTTCTTATACCACTTTATGGTGGTGGAAGAACAATGTCTCTCGCAGATGGCACGACCAATTAGGCTTGATGAGAGTACCTTTCAATAGGTTGAAGGAAGACAACCTTTCACTAGGCTCCGTACAGTCTTATCGACGGGGACAACCGTTCGAAGAGTGCACCAACAAAGGTTACACATGATCATCTACGGTTCATCATGATCTTACTCGATGCTTTACAGCTCATACTTGTCACATAAGCATGCTTAATAGACTTAAGAACCATTTAAACAAATATACTTAACACTTGACAAAACTTGGCATGCGCTGCATTTTTAAAACGAGCATATCTTTCAACATACAAGTCGCATTAACATGATTCAAGTCTCATATTGCTCCTAAGACATGGTACTACAACTTTAATTTAGCACTCAAAAGCAAATAAGGTCATATACATGGTCCAAAACCAGTAACATTCAAAGATAAAATGCTGTCCAGAAATTTAAAATAAATTCATGCGCAGTTTTACAAAAATAGGTATCATTCACTACTCGGACCATATTTTTGCTTGATTCCAGAACCACATGAAAGATAACACATAGAACTACAATTTCAATGAAGACTTCAGGTTCATTTGAGCGCATTATCA